CCTGGACCCAGGGTAAAGACTTCTGCTGCTTCTCAGCCATTGACCCAACTATGCTCAGCAAGAACATCTTGCTGAGCTAATAAGATGTAGCCGATGTGTCTTTCCATCCCCCCACCTCCTAGGGCTCCAATTCTGGTTCACTTTTTTTTTTTTCTTTCAGTATGATTCTCCTCTCAACTTATGCTAAAGATTTCTTGATCAAGAGTTACAGGAGAGAAAGTGTTAAAAGCAACAACAAAGAGGTCAGGACTTCAGCGTTTGGCCCATTATGGTTAAAGAACATCCCTGAGTGACTGGCAGGGCATCCTCCATGATGTTTCAATGTCTGAAGCCAGAGCACAGTGCTTGCTGTGGGCCCCCCATGCCTTTATTTCTCCCTCCTGCTCCATACCCCAGCAAGACTCAAGAGCATAAAGCTAGACACATCTTGCGTTTCCCCACCCCGAGCAGGACTTTGCCCCTCCCTGCTTACACCTTTCCCAGGGGGGTTCTCTAGGGACAATATAAGTTTCTGCTGACATTTGTGTTAAACTGACTTGGTCCTTCAGCTCTGGCTGACCATGAATTAGACTTACGAATTTCCTAAGGTGTTTTGAGAAGCACCAGCCCTAGTAGTTCACACATGATTTCTGTGGCCAATCTATTCCCTAGTTTCTGGCACCCAGTTTTCTTGATACATTGCCAACATGCCTCTCCCTGTTTCTGTTCCAGGCCGGTGGTGGACCACCAGGAACCCCAGGAGAGCGGGGAAGGATTGGTCCCCTGGGACAAAAGGTACATCTTCATGAGCATTGGGCATCAGCCACTAAAACAGCAATGAAAAATTTCTGGATAAGAGTGAGCTTAAAAAAATACTTGAGATTGACTTCTTGGAGTGAAATTAGCTCATTTTCACTGGCTTGCAGTGTGGAGTAGAGCAAGGTCTATGCTCTGGTTGTTTCATTAGGCTCCCGTTTCATTGAACAGAGAGGCAAAAGTAATTGAGTAGCTGAGATCCCCAAGTAATTTTCCAGGGCAGATTCTCAGCCAATGCCCACATGGGAAGGTGGTTGTGCTGGATCTCTCCACACCCTCCGTATGGTTTTCTCTCTCCAGATTCACACATCTATTTTCATGGCTGCTCCACTGTCCTTTTGCAAAATCCCCAGAGCTTGGGAGCTTTTATTGTTGCACTGTTCATAAAAAGCAAACACTATCCTGTGGTGAGAGCTGGCCAGTCTCCCATTTCCCATTACTCAGCTTTTCTGAAATCACTAAAGGTCCCACTAAAGAGCAAGCATTTTGCTGCATTGCTGGCCTTGTAGGTCCAGTCATGACTTCCTGCTGCAAGGACCACTGCAGACTGGTCTATGTAAAGAAACCAGTGCTGATGGGGTGGGAAAGGCCCAGAGCTGCTGGGAGTTTCAGCACATGCTTTGACAGATGCTCCTGTTTTCAGGGTGAGCCTGGAAATCCTGGACCCAAAGGGCCAAATGGACAGCAGGGCCCACGAGGAGAGATGGTAAGTGTGGCCATGCACTTATATCTTTAAGGATGCTGGGCTAAACCCTCTCCTGTGGCAAATGGGCCATAGCCCTTTTTAGCAGAGGGTTTAGCTACCCTGTGGACTTTGCGTCCCCCATAGTACAATACAAGAGAGGGAAATCAGCTTTATGTCTTCAGCTGGCATGGGCAGAATTGGTAACGATAGTCCCTTTGAGGAGGTGAACTATAGTCACTTGAAAAGTGACTTTTAACATCTCAGAGATCAGTCCACAGAGCAGAGGCTATCCAGAGTTGCTTGGCCTTGTCCCAGCTCATTGCATGAGGCTTGGGTAGACACCCCTACCTGACCCCGTGGTTAGTCCAAGGTATGAAAAGGACATATGGACCAGGTGAGAGCTTTCATGGGGCCTGATTCTCATTACTCTGTATAATGAGGAGCCAACTGAGGAAAAAATGGTTTGTGCAAAGCAAGGGAGGACAAGCTTGCATCAGAGAGAACTGTAAGTATATATACCCCTAGCATCGACTGAGCTCCTAACCTGCTCCTCACTGCTGACTTCTGCCTGTGTTTTACACATTATATGTGTATGCCAAGCAGGCTTTATTCCAGATTTGTAGTTTTGGCAACATCTTTTTCTGCTTTTTTTAATTGCAATAATTTCATCTATAGAAGGACTTCTCAATGGCCTGTGGCATCAGTGGGGTCTTTCTATTGATGTTGCTGGATCTGTGATGTTTAAGGTATTCACATATGACTGCATATTAATGACTTTGGCTTTCCAATTTTAGGGTGATGATGGACGAGATGGAATTGGTGGCCCAGGTCCTACAGGCAGAAAGGTAGGTATAGACTCAGCATGCCTGTCTACCAATATGAGTTACCCAGGACAAGGAAGTAGCCAAGGTCTCCAGTGCAGATGGGCGAGGGCAGAGCCTGGGTGAAGTCAGATATGTACAGGAACAAAAATCAGCCCTGGTGAGAAAACCAGGCAAGACTCTTCAAACCTTTCCCCTCTGCTTTTGCCTTGGTTTTGCCTGCGTAAATCAGCTTCTCCAAGGAGGAAGCATAATGGTTTTGTACCTTTTAGCCATATGAATGTCTGCGGGACTTTGAAAACAATGTGTCAGCATCTCTGACAGCTCCTCTACAGTTTGAATTAGCCTTGGAGAAGCAACCAGACCTTAAAAAGAGTGGCTATTTTCTTTTTCTTAATCATATGAGGAACAGAATTGCAAAATGAATTTGCAGCCTCTCTCTTTTCCCTCTGTCGTTTAATTCCTTCAGTTGTTACAGATCTGCCTGCAGAATCAGATTAATTTTCTAAAACATATTCAAATAAAACTTTATGTTGTTTCAGGGAGAACGCGGCTTCATAGGCCACCCGGGGCCCAAGGTATGGTGCAGCCCATGAGCATTTTCCAAGCAATGTAGCCATTACCTATGGTCTTGAGCAGATTTAGAGCTACCGTTTGTGTTTTTCCCCAACAAGGGTGGACCTGGTGACCGTGGTGGTGCTGGAGGCCCTGGCCCTAAAGGAAACAGAGGCCGCAGAGTAAGTTGGACCATGACACAATTTTTCCATTCTGCATGAATGGCCTGAAAGATCTACACATCTTTTCCCCCACGTGTTGACCCATGCTCCTGGGCAGATGTTCATGGAGAGGACTTCTCTGCTCTCTCTCTCTAGGGAAATGCAGGAGATCCTGGGACACCTGGTCAGAAAGGAGAGGTTGGATACCCTGGGCCATCTGTAAGTGTTCATTGCATTGCTGATGGAGCCTCTGGCTTACCTCCCTGGAGAGACTCCTGAGTGCTCTTCTGAGAAACATGGTGGTCCCTATTGGTAACAGGGGTTGATTCAAATCCTGCTGATTTGAAGTTGGGCAAAATCCTCTTTATTTGTCTTGGATGTGTGTCTATAAATTCTTAACTAGCTGTTTATCATTGATAATATCTTCCCATCTTCAAACCATAATGCACAGCAGGAAGAAAAAGCAAGAGGCAGGTTCTTGTCAGGCACTATGATTTCTCCATGGCAATAAGCCACTTACAGCTCCTTCTAGGAAGTTCTCAGCTCTTTGTCATTTATCACCCCACACAGCATACGGTCCGTGACCAAATCTGACTGGCACAGAGCACCCTAGAAAGGCCAAGGTGACTTGGCTTGCTTCACACATGAACCTCAGGCATCGTAAATGTCCCTTTTGGGTTTGGCCTCAGCTAGGTTTACTTCTCACACAGGAAAACAATTCCCCCTGATGCTGGAAACACAACTGAAAACAGGCAGGTTTTCCCTTATGTTGCACATGACCATGGTTAAATAGTTGTTCCAATGGGGCTCGTGGGGCACCCCAAAAATATACATTGCACTCAATTTTTCTTTATTTTTTAAACAGGGACTTAAAGGTGATAAAGGAGAATCCAGAGATGTAAGTGTGACATCTTTTCTCTCTTGTTTTGAAACAATATTTGGTTGGCTGTGTCATATATCTCTTTTTTCCACCTTCTCCCTCTCTTTCATTTTATTTTCTAAAGCAATGTGCACTTGTGCGGAACATCAAAGACAAATGCCGTGAGTACATCAATGCTTTGCTAATTCCCTGTCTCTACTCTTATATGCCCATGTTACACAAATGGCACCGACTAAACTACTTTTTTTCCTCATCTTTTCCACAGCTTGCTGCTATGGTAAGTCACCTTCAGTTCTTTAAACCCCAATGTGTCTGTGTGCCAGAACTGTTGCTCTCCCCACGTACGTGGTATGAATGTTTTACCCCTGCCAAGGACATGGTCCTTGCACACTGCCAACTATTTGGGGCACTATTTGTTCCCAATGCATGTTTCCGGCAGGTCCCAAGGAGTGCCCTGTCTTCCCAACTGAGCTGGCCTTCGCTATCGACACCTCCGCGGGTGTTGTGAGGGATGTTTTCAACAGGATGAAGCAAACTGTGCTCAGAGTGGTCAACAACTTAACCATCGCTGAAAGCAACTGTCCTCGGGGTGCCCGGGTGGCTCTAGTCACCTACAACAACGAGGTTACCACAGAGATCCGCTTTGCTGATTCCAGGAAGAAATCAAGCCTCCTCCAGCAGATCCAAAACTTCCAGGCAACCCTGACCACGAAGCCACACAGCCTGGAGACTGCCATGTCCTTCGTGGCCAGGAACACCTTCAAGCGTGCCCGAAGTGGCTTCCTTATGAGGAAGGTGGCTGTCTTTTTCAGCAATGGGGACACAAGAGCCTCCCCACAGCTCAACGATGCCGTGCTGAAACTCTACGACGCTGGGGTCATGCCTGTGTTCCTCACCAGCAGGCAGGACCCAGTTCTCACCAGAGCTCTGGAGGTTGGTGTCATTCACCCTTTCATTTTCTGCTGATGACCTCTCCTACAGGCAGTGGTTGGCTTCCACAGGCCTTTCAAGTGCTTAGCATTGAGAAAGCATTGCTGGCCAAACTCATCCAGCACGTCTATTAGGAGAGAATTCAAAAACATAGTGCATGCTGCAAAACACTAGTGAGGTTACGATAAGCCATTTGTTTCCCAGACCATGGCTCCAGGGTGCCAGGTCTGATATGAAATAAGACAGTCCTGTAGCAAGAAAGATCTGACAGAAAGACAAAGGGTGGGAAGGGCAAAGTACGGTAGCTTTGTTGGCAGGAGAATGGACGTACAGAGATTTAAAGAAACAAGAAAGCCCCAGACAAGCACACTGAGCACTGGTTCAAGTGCTTGACCATTTTCTTGGAGTTTATGTCTAAATGAGTCCCACTAACTGACATCGAGGGCATTAGGCTCCTCCAAATGGGATACACCAAAAGCTGCATAGAGGATCTCTTAAGAGTTGTGGATTGCCCTCCCCTACTTTGAACTGAAAATAACAGAAGACAGCATTACTAACACCATGTTTTTCTGTTTGCATCTAACCAGATCAACAACACAGCAGTTGGACATGCAATTGTTCTTCCAACCAGCGGCAGTCAGATGAATGAAACTATCCAGAGGCTCTTGACTTGTCACATTTGTCTGGGTAAAACATTCAATTTCTCCTCTAGACAATGCCAAATCCTTTTGGTTGCACAGCAGTCAGTTGTCAGTGGCACAGAAGGGAAGCCCAGCTGGGAGTCAGCCCTTTCGCTGCCAAAGACAAGGGATTCATATTCTTAGGCTGAGCAGAAAACATTTTGTTGTGAATGAGGCTCATTGGGTATTCTCCACTTTGTAAAGAGAAGCTCCTTTTCTGGCTGGTTCCCACTTCTACAAGCCCAAATACTGATAGCTAAATGCTCTCAAATATGGCCTTCTACCATTTATGACAGAGCACTTCAGGGATCCCTTTGGACAAAGGAGTGCATAAAAGTACACACTAAATGGGTTTTGGGATTAAATGACTTTGGTATCAAGTAATGGATCAGTGAATGTCCATGGCTTGATAGTATTTCATATGGCACAAGAGATTTTTACAATGACAAGGGAATGTCATCTTCAGTTCCTCCAGGTGAAACTTATTGTATTTCTTCCCTAGATGTGTGTGACCCTGACCCAGTCTGTGGTTTTGGTAGTCAGAGACCTGTATTCAGAGACAGAAGGGCAGCCCCAACAGATGTAGACACTGACATAGCCTTCATCATGGATAGCTCAGAGACGACCACCCCTCTGCAGTTCAACGAGATGAAGAAGTACATTTCCCACCTTGTAAGAAACCTGGAAATCAGCTCAGAGCCACAAGTATCTCAGCACCACGCAAGAGTGGCAGTTCTCCAGCAAGCTCCTTATGAATATGAAACCAACTCAAGCTTCCCACCAGTAAAAACTGAGTTTTCACTAACTGATTATGGATCCAAAGAGAAGATCATCAATTACATTCAAAACCAAATGACCCAGCTCCGTGGCACAAGGGCTATAGGAAGTGCAATTGAACACACAATGACTCATATTTTTGAAAGTGCACCAAACCCTCGGGATCTAAAAGTCATAGTTCTGATGATGACTGGAAAAGTGAATAAACAAGAACTTGAGTACCTGCAGAAGGTTGTTATCGATGCAAAATGCAAAGGGTATTTCTTTGTTATCTTGGGCATTGGCAGGAAGGTGAATGCCAAGAATATCTATAGCCTAGCTAGCGAGCCAAATGATGTGTTCTTCAAATTGATTGATAAACCAGGAGAGCTTCATGAAGAGCCCTTACTACACTTTGGGAGACTGCTGCCATCTTTTATCAGAAGTAAGTATAACATCCTGCAGCCAAAGTATTATGGAAGGGGCAACATGTGACTTCAGAGGGGTTAGTCTGCCAGGTTTGGTCTACCTGCCTATTGGTTGAGTGGTCTCTAACTGACCACCTCTTTGGGTAGTGGTGCTGACTGAAGTTAGTCCATTTTTCTATGTTGTGTACTGTTTGGTCTGTTTGTTGCTGCTTGTAGGTCTACCTAGTTGAATATGTCTGAGTTTTGTTCGCTTTGGCCTCCACAAGCCCATCCCATGCAGTCTGTTGGTCCGCCAAGTAGACTTTGTGTCTCTGTCTGGTTTGACTTGGTCTCCGTGGGCTCACCTGTGGGATCTGACCTAATCCTGCCTGGCTTGCTGGTTACATCTGCAATGTGTCCCATAGGGTCTGGTCCTGCCAGGGCTCTTGGCCCTCTGCAACCCAGCAGCCTGCTAGCACTCCCTCCAAGCTCCCCGAACACCCAGAAAACCTTTCTTCCCAACTGCAGCAGAAACATGTCTAGCAGGCACTTGGATGGCTCAGGCTGAGATCTGGAGTTGCTGTATGCAGATTTAAGGACCAGATGAACAGGATTCTTTGCTCAGGGGTAAATAATGCCGCTGTGTCTCAGATGTGCAGATTCTGCCTTGAAAATTTGCATCTCAGCTTAGCTAGAGATCCCAGGCTGGATCCCTGGCTAGACCCAGCTGCCAGAGTTCCTAAACAGACCTGGCCAGCAAGGACAAGAAACAGGCCTTTTCTAGGAAAGCTAGTTTTATCAAAGAAGTCCTGAAAATCTGGGCTAATAAACCACTGATTCAGGAATGTCTTGCACTAAATAGGAAGCAAACATGAGCACATCTTTCCCGCAAAATAAATGTTTAGGTTTTCTCAGTTTGCTTTTTCCATTTGCTGCTTACAGGGGTCCTGGAAACCTCTAACTCTTGAAAAAAATACTAACTGTGTGGTTGGAAGTGCCTTGTTATAAGAAAGCTGTTTGCATGTGACAGACTAAGAGAAACAGTCCTCTGATATCTTGTAGGTACTGCTCTCATGTTTGTATATTGGAATAACAAATCTCCCAGCCCAGGATGCTGCAGTAACTACACCAATGTCAAGAGATATTCCAGAGGTTTTATCAGAGCAAGCAAGAAGAGAAGAGGTTTTTTGAATCAAGAAGATGTATATGTAATGTGTTGTTGGCAGGTACCCACCACCCTCAACACCAGTGTTTAATGCCAGGCTCTCTCTCTATCTAGGTGACTTTGCTTTCTACCTGTCTCCAGAGATAAGGAAACAGTGTGAGTGGTTCCAGAGTGATCAGCAAGCCAAGAGCCAGAGCCCTGGGCATGCTGGGCACAAAGCTGTGTAAGTAGTGGTTTGTCTGTGAGAGAATGAGCTTTGCCAACAGTCTGTCTGGGGGAGAAGCCATCACTTCCTGGTCCCTGTTTGGAAAAGAAAGAAAAAGCAACTGCAATGCTAACAATCAGGATTATCAGCATTTTACTACTTCCTTTAATTCTGTGTCAAAAGAGCAACAGATGTATCTACTAGAGAACGGTAGACAAGTACATGCACATTTTTAAATTTGGGTTAAATTTCATATTTATATATGTATAAAGGATATGAAGGAGGCATAGGCTACTGTCATCATGCAGGTCAGGAATTCCAGAAATTACTATTAATGGGGGGTTTTCCAATCAATGAACTATTTTCAGAGTCTGGGATGCCCTGGACTATCTGATATTCAGGATCTACTATTGAATATATCCTAATATTTTCTGAACAGAAGTGAAAGCTTGTGTCACCAAGACTCAGTCATCACTGCCACAGAGCTGCCTTGGCTTTAGAAGGTCGAGCCCCTTGAAATCAGGCATGCTACAGATCTGTCTACTGAAGTCACACTTACATGTGTAAAGTTGGTGTATAGACAGACTCATGCCCCAAGTGATAGGCAGTGCTCTGCAGCATTTTCCACTGCTTGACTGTGGGCATATCTAAAGCTGACAAAGACTATTGACCTCGGGGGGGTTCTTGCCAATGGTTTCTATATCAGCTCCTCTCTACTACCAAAATCCTGCTTATATAGGGCGGGGAAAAAAAACATATAATCTGCTTTTGCTTTGACAGGTATGTGGCACCCAACACGACCATAAGCCGGACCCCCAGTGCCAACACCATGGTCAGTGCAAGCATCAAGCCTGTTGCGAGCACCAACACCCGTGCCAGAACCACCACTGCCAGCACCAAGCCTGCTGCGAGCACTGACGCCCGTGCCAGAACCACCACTGCCAGCACCACAGCCCAGACCAGAGCCACCGACCAGACCACAGCCAGCACTGTGGTCCAGGTGAATGCCACCGCGCAGAGCGCAGCAAGCTCCGCAGCCCACACCAAAGCCACCGGCCGCACCATCACAAGCGCCATGGCTGCTGCGGCAGGCGGCAGGAGAAGACAAGGCGGTACGTGAAAGGCTCTCCCCATGCAAGCAGTGCCTCTCGCTTGTCTGCCAAACAGTGGGCTGTGGCATTTCTTCCTCTCTGAGAGGATTATTCCTATGGGAAATGTCACTAAGAGGCCAAATGTCATGTTGGTTTTAGTTTTTAGTAGTTGCAATACTGGTAATCTGCACTGGGAGGTTAAGGTTTTGCCAACTTCTGTTGAAAGTTTTATGCAAAACCAGGTCGGGGACAGGCTGCCTCTAGGCAAAACACAAGCAGGACTTCTAAACATGGGACAATCCATCATCTGCTGCTTAGCTTACTAGTACAGCAACAGAGCACTTCTCTTTCTAGTGTGGTCCATTTGCTTTCTGTGTTTTCCTTGGAGCATTACCCCTTGACTGAGTTTTGATATTTATGGTGATTCATACAATGGTATTGTTTGAATTCTCTGTCAGCTAATATAAATAGTTAGTTTGTCACTGAATCAGTGTGGAGACCTATTTGGGAATGCTAAAGCTCCTTCATGTGGCACAGTTCATGTAAAGGAGTTTTTCCATGTGTTATTGTAAGAGGGTGCAGGCGCCTCTGCACTAGCTGAACAAGTAACAAAGAACATGTGTCAAAGCACATGAATGTTTAACCAGTCAATGAGCGCATGTCACCATGTAAATAATAAATAAAAGGCAATAAATAAAAGCGATCAGCTTTTTCAAGGTTAATGCTTTCATCAGCTTACAGGGAACATACATTTCTGTTGCGTCCAAGCAGAGTTAATAAAAGTCTCACCCTATACTCTGCCACAGAAGAAAAACCTTTCCCTAACAGCTTCTTTGACCTAAGGCTGTGTTTGATCTTAAGTAGGCTTTGCCTGAAGATCTTCAGCAGTTCAGTGAATCTATTGCACCCTAGAGAATGATCTGACTGAACACATTTACAGTTGTTGGGAAAGTTGTGCTGGGAATCACATTTCAGACCATGTAAATCTCATGAAAAAAATTGCTTTGATTTGCTAGGTTGCAGCAGATCATTAAAATGTAAACACCTGGTAAATCACCTAGGCTATGGGAAAAAAGCCTCCCTGCAGTGTGCTGGGTTGGGCATCTGAGGTAGCAAAGTCACAACCCAGTTTGCACATGCCACAACTGGCTGCAGACAAATTTATTTGCTGCAGACTGGGAAGGAGATCCTGTAGCATGAAGGAGATCTTTCCTTGAGATCTTTCCTCTTCAAGTCCTTGCTTAGTGTTTCATCTGATTTTGCATTGCAGCAAAGACCCATGACATCCAGATCACAGATGTCACGGAGAACAGTGCCAGGCTGCGCTGGGCCAGCCCCGAGCCACACAACACTGATGCTTTTGATATCATCGTCACCTTAGCGCATGACCACTCTCTCGTGCAGAAGCAAAACCTGACCGGCACTGAGCATGTTATCCAAGGACTCAAAGGTGGACAGAAATACCTTGTCGTCATTACTGGCTACCAGAAATCCCAGCCCAAAGTAACCTATTCAGGGACATTCAGCACAAGTAAGTAGCTCTTGAGGAAAACACACAAACATTTATTTTTTCATAAAATGGACACAAAAAATGGAAAAAAAAAAACATGTAAGGGATAGGAAATCAGTTGGTACCAAGGATCCCAGCCCTGGCAATGCTCAGTTGCATCACTGCATGTCTGGCATCCTCCAGACCAGCAGCAGGACTGAAGTGCTGCTGTTTCTTTGGCAAATGCAAGCTGACACTTTGCTGGTGTTAAATCGACACAGACTGTGGGAGAATTAAAGCCAGTCCCAGAGGCGGGTTTGTCTTACTGTGCATACAGGAGGCTTTGCACAATGGGTCTTGTTGGGGTCCAGACAGCATTGCTGTAATTAATAATAAGATTCAAACTGGGTTAACAGAGTAAATTCAGTCCAGTCTGATTGCAAAATAAGCAAGAAAAAGTTCTTCCTGGATCACCATTTCCATAGCCATCTATCTGCTTCACATGCTATATTATCAAAAAAAAAAAAAACCACAAAGAAGAGATTAAACAGAGGGTTTAGTCCCTTGGGGATCCAAGCTCCGTGTGTACAGTTCACATGTAAATCTTACCAGACCCTTTGACACAGCCAAAGTATGTAAGACATGGCCAAGTTTTTCTTATACGGTTTGGATTGTAGGTGACTTGGCTTGGTGGTGTGGAGAAGTTTGTGCTGGTCCTGTCAGTGTTGCGTCTGGCTTCTTCTGGCACTTCAGGGCAAATTTCAGTGCCCACAGAGAGCCTTTCCATTACCTTCAGTGGGTTTGGACCAGGTCTGAAGTCTCTTACATTCGTGGGCAATAAATGTGCCCACAAAATTGTTGAGAAAAGACATCAATGTATAGAAGTAATATTTGCATGAGCTGAGTTGCAGCTCTCAGTGCCCAGGGAAGCTACATTTCCCATGGAGTAAATCTTGAATGGTAGCAAACTGGGGAGGCAATGGCAATGCCACTTTTGCCCACAAGCTGTGACCTGGACACTAGGTAGTACTGTCCCCCTTACCCACACCCATACCCTCCACCAGAGAAAAGCAAATCCAACCCTTCCTGTGGCTGCAGTCTCCTCCTGCCCCATGGAAAATGAGCCACAGGTTGCACTGGGAAGGGTTATAATGCAATAGGGTGCAGTCATGCACAGCATGATGCAATATGAAACATATTCTCCTTTCCATCACAAGGGATTTCTTCCCCCAGTGGCAATCCTCAACAACACAATTCCTAGAGGGATGTGAGGTGGTGATGGGAGGAGTACAGTCAAAGAGAGGCATGCAATGCATAGACAGTCCTTGAGGGCTGCAGAGGAACAAGAAAAGATCCATCACAGACTATTTGCTTCCCTAGAAGATGCCATTTTTTGCCATCTCTAAGACCAGAGGAGCAAAGCTAAACTGGCTACAGAGAGGCCATGTCCAGCTCCTTCAGACCCCTTGCTCAGTCACATGCTGTAGGGTGAGCAGGGGCCATCCAAAGCACCCATGTGGGGCCCTGAGGGTGCTCCTTCACAGTTAACCCCGATGATGAACCTGACTGTGCAGCAGGGGCGCCAGCTGGGGAGAGCAAGGCGAACCCATCCCGGTGCGGCTGGGCGGTTGTGGATTACTCATCCCATCAGCTGCCTCCAATAAACATTTCTGAAATGTATGTGCTACGGTAAACAGATCCAGACCCAGCTCCTGCAACTTGTGTCCCCTGTGCTGGAGCTGGGGCCAGTAAGTTTGTTTATGACGGCGCCAAGGGCGCTGCTGCAAATGCCCTTCCCCTTGGCTGACCCCACTGCTTCTTCCCCCCAGAGACCCTGGCACAGCCCAAGGTGTCCTTGGCCAACATGATGTTCAACACTGAGCCGCTGGAAGGGCCCGAGAGTGGTGAGTATGGGTGATGGTGTGAGTGCTGGGCTGGGGAGCTCTGCCAGGACCCTCACCAAGAGCCTGGCGATTTGCACCGGTCCTCTCCTTGCCCACTCCTAAAACCATCCTTTCTCAGAGCCCTGCTAGGACCAAAGGATCTGTGAGTCCTTTGCTTTGCAGAGGCAACAGATCATGACCTAGATGACATCCTTGGCCATGCAAGTCTGTGTGGGCGTCTCTGCCCCATGCTGGATCCAGAGCCCCCTGAAGTTGCTGTGATCTTCATTGCGTACTCAAACCCAGTCACGTTTCCATCGCGAGGATGGGAGATGACCCAGGGCCCAAGAGCTGGCTGCTGTCCAGGGACAAGCTGTGCCCTATGGCCTCCCTGGCATGTGTAAATGCAGGTGTGGATGCAGAACATCACGTGATGCTCGTTTGAACTCCTGCTCCCAATTTGGGGCAAAGAATAGGTTTTGGCTCCTTGGTTTAACACACAGCTCTCAACACGGGCTTGACCAACAGCCAGGGATTGCAGGGCACCTAGTGTCAAACATTTGCACAAATTTGGCTAATTGGTAGCCTCCTTCCACTTTCACCCATCTGCCCATCGCACTTCTCTGCCACCAGTGGTGTATGTAGTAAACTGCTAAACGAGCAAGTTTTCAGCTCCTACTATGTTGTTAATCCTGTTAACCTGTGTTAATAACCCATAATCACTGTAGCAGTTAATGTCATCTCATTGCTCATTATATCAGCGACATCAAGCTCGTTATATCAGTGCTGTTACACTCAGTTGTACCGTAAGTGCCAGGGTGCAACCCTTCCTCCAAGGGTCTGGAAGGGCTCTCAGCCTTCATAAAGCTGCATAGCCCTGTCCCGGGCACCAACGATGGATCTGGCATCCAAAACTCATCCCTGAATCACCACACTCATGTTTCTCTTTAAGCATTTTTCTTGCACCGTGGCTTGTTTTCTTCCTGAGGTGATTTGAGAGCACGGGGAGATGCTGCTGCTCAGTGCGTTCAGCCAACAACAGTTGCAAAGCAGCTGTTGGGGTCTGGCTGCTCATGTTGAAAGTGATGAGCATGGACCTCATGCCTGGCTGGTGGTACCACTAGAGCTTGGTGCAGTGGAGGGGCCAACAGCTTGTGCTGGGAAAGGACCATCTCTTTTCTGCCTTGCTGCATGTCCCATCATCCCACCTTTCCCATGCATTCCTACTCATTTGGTCCCTCTCCCTGGAACTGACATCCCCTCTGAAGCCTGTCCGCGCCAGGAGACGTGCACCTCCATGGCTTTATTTAACTGCCTGTGTGCCAGCCCTTTGAAAACAAGGCATGTAGGCTTATGTAGGTCTGCCCGAAGGAAAATGGACATGCTGTGTGCTTACTCTGCACTTCAACGCAGACCTCTCCATCTCAGCTCCTCTTGGTGACCCACTTGTAGCAAATGTCTCTGCTCGAGGATTTATGGCAGCCAGCAATTTAGGGGGAAACATTCCTCGAGGATGCTAATCTGAAGTTCAACAGGCTAAGACATTAAACAGGGCAGGGGATTTGGGTTGTTTAGTTGAGTCCTCTCTAGTTCTCTGTGCAACAGGACAGACTTATGCGTAAATCTTCCAGTGGGCCTCGGAGGAAGCCCCAAATGCTGCCCTCCTTATATAGGCAAAGAAACTGTTAGCACAGATGGCCTACCTTTGATAATAAAAACTCTGGGACTTGGACCTAAATTAGCATTTCTGGGCAGGAAAGGTACATACATTTAAATCCTCATCAAGCCTTAAAGTCTACCAGGTGTGGCTTGCCTTTAGAGCTAAAATAAACACACTTAAGGATTAAAAGTTACTGCCAAGACAAATAGCTTTGAAAATAGATGGGGGGTGTTGTGTGAGGGCCCGATCCTGCATGCACCAGTGGGGACTAAGGGGCTCCCACCACCTCGGTCCAGGGACTTGGGGCTTGGATGTGTGTCAAAATCAAGAGCAGAGAGAGGCAAGCTGGAGGCTGGGGAAGGTTTGCATTCAGGAAGAGAAATCATAAGTCAAGGAAATGCCACCAGTCCTGTACCAGGCTTTATTTCTTTTTCTTTTTTTTTCTGTTCAATCTCTTTGCTTTTTCAGCTTTTAACCCTTTCAGAATCACTTAACCTTTGCACCTTTTGACATGCAGATTGGCCAGACGCTTGCTTGCTGGACTTTGACATGGGCATGCAGTGCAAGGACTATCAGATTGTGTGGTTCTTTGACTACAAAAACAAGATCTGCAGCCAGGGTTGGTATGGTGGCTGTGCTGGTAATGCCAATAGATTTGAGGCCGAAGCTGAGTGCGTTAGAAAATGCTTAAAACCATGTAAGTACCACGTGGGGATTAATTCTTTTGTGTTTTATCATATTGTCAAGCACTGTTTTGAGCGGAGAGAAAGCACTGTTTAAAATCCAGACTCACACACTTTTTCCTCCAGCAGCAGCTGAGAAAGCCATGCAGCAGCCACCCCTTGAGAAAAGAGTATCGCCAGGTAAGAATCCCCCAGAAAATAATAATCACAAACCAAAGCAAATCCATTATTTCACTTTGATCATTTCATAGCATGCATCCAACCTTGTCCAATACAAGATCACCAGTAGTATAGACTTGGTTTTCATTTGCTCTTTGACATGACCATGCCCTACCGTCTGCTTTGCATGAACAAGTCATCTTGCATGCATGTTGTCACACCAGGACATGATGTTTTTGTATGACCTGAGTGCAAACCATAGCTGTATGGCAAAATCACACACTGAATTTTGTGAGAAGCATGAGGTTGCTGAACTGGAGCGTGGCATGGTCCCAAAGCAGTTTCTATTATCAATGCATGACTAACAAATGCCACCACTCAATGGTGTGCTTTTGCTCAGATGCAAAGAATTACAAATGTTTCACTGCCTGTAACCAAAATACTTGATGGAAAATCACTCCACGGGGCTTGGGTCTTGCGTGCAGATGTTTTCCTTTTGCAATCAAAGTTGAGGGAGGAGCCCACAGGAAAATGGCAATCACCTCCTCTCCTCAAGGAGTTTCTGAGATCAACGGATTGTGTTTGCAAACCTCTTCAAGTCCTGCTAAGGAAGTAGAGACTTCCTACCACCTGTGTTGGTTCAGCAAGGGGTTGGAATGGGAACCTGACCCCAGCAAAGCCTTGCTATGGTAGCAGCCTCCACCTTCTAGTGATGTTTCAGGGCTTTTTGCAGACACAGGAGGGAAACCTAGGGGTGAAGCAAGCTCTGGTACCCAATGGCAGGGCTTTAATTCTCACAGTGGCATGCCAGGATTTGAAAAGGCAAATTAAGGACTCTGCCCACCCATTTGATTTTCTTAGGTGTATTTTAGGCTCCTTAAATCAGACTCAGGGAAATTTTGTCACAGGCAGCAGTGCAGCCAGAGTCCAGCTGTGTGTGCCCCTGCAGAAACATGCAGGCAAGCGAGGAGGAGGCCACCACCAGACATGGAGATGTATGGGGTGGCGGCTGCTTACAGAAGGATGTTGCAAGGTGCTTCTGGGCTGCAAACAGGCATCATGGACAAAGATCCACTGATTGCAGTTTGAGGACTTCTCAGCTGGAGGAAGCAGCATATGGCTTGTGTAGAAACCTGTAGGTTCAATCTAGAGCAGGATTTTAATGCCTCACACAGCAGGTAAGCCTACCTGATGTGTTTTTCTCCAGAGGGCGCATGTTTCTGCTAGCCCCATCCCACAGACCAGCCCCTTCTGATCATCATCACACCTCTTGACGATGTTTCCAGCAACTGTTGTTCAGGCTAAAGTGATATTTCATGAACTTGGCCTGTTCTGCCCTGGGCAGATAGTCAAGAAAAGCAACTGAGGGGCCCTGGAGGGACTTTCGTGTCTCTGTCCAGCCCACTCTATTCACCACTTTATTCTCTTTTCGTTTTCTGCAAAAGCAGAGCTTACATCCACCATGGACAAAGAGACATGGGAGCTCACGTGCAGCTCAGCTTTTAAAATGCTGGGTGTTAGGTGAGGCTCTCGGTTTAGCCCACACCAGGTGCCAGAGCCAGGTGCAACAGTAAGAAATCAGTTTGTCTCCCAAAACTTAGGGCTCTTTGGGTGCAAAAACATGCACCAGACCCACCTCCCATTTGAAGCCTTTTAAATCTGTGAAAACCTTTAATTATTGATATTTATATTTTTTTTATTATTGTATTTAATATTTTTTTACATGACAAAATTAACTGTAAGTGCAACTGAGGAGCCCAGGCACATCTTCTCCGTGAGATAAATTAAAACCCTGGCTTACGGTGGCCATTCCCATCTTTTGAACCTGCCAGCACCAGCCACAGCTTAAAACACATTTTGGCTCCCTAGTTCTTGATCTCCATCACTTCTCTGAATTTTTTTGGGCAAGCCTTTGTTTCATTTATTGAGTTTTGGGCTTGGGGTTTATGGTAGGAGGGGGAGATTTCACTTAAAACGCCATCCAGTGGTTCAGCCAGAGAAGTTACTAGATGTTGTTTGATGATGCTCTGAAACTGGAGAGTGGCACAAGCCCACGTGGTGTGGATATTAGGGCAGGCAAACTGAAGATTACAATTCAAGTGAATTTTCAGCAGCTTTCCCGAAGCCAGGTCTGCCTCTAAAGTGGTGACTGAATTTCCCTGTGCATCCGCTGATCCTGAAGGCTGCTT